TTTTGTCGCGGTTAATTTCCTGGACCTATCAATGGCAACACCCTGAGTATGGTGTCTGGAGTGGTGGTAAGTGCTTGTGTGTAGGAGTCGCATCATCGGTGCAGTGTGGGGGGAATATATGTGCGCTTCCCTCAGCTGAGCTGAAGAGTTTTATCGATAATTATAGGAGTTTATATACGAACTAGGGTAGACGTGTTTAGGTGCTAACAAGAATCTCTCAGAAAATTCATATTCTATGTGCATATTTTTTCACACTGACTCGGTGATTCTTTCTACCTCCTCCTCCTCTTGACAGGTCCAAATTGCAAGTGGTGTATTATTACTGATTTCCGTTTGCCTTACTGTGATTTCCTTTGGCAAACCTCGTCGGCTATTGACTGCTGGGATGTTATTCTTCGTATCTACATCTTTATTCTCCTGCGTCTATGTCTACAACTTCGGCAGAGCTATGGAGGATGTAAGAGAGTAGCTCTACTGTAATTGGTATCTCTGTATTAGGCTGTTACTCACAGCGTATATCGTTATGGTCCAGTATTCTCAAGAATCGTCTGGGTAGCTGATCCGGTAGGCGTCCTTGTAGTGTTGTAAGCAATAGGGATTGGTGTGGTATGCTTAGGGCCTATTCACCATCATAGCGAGCCATGTTAGTATGTCCCATATTGGTGCCTTACCTTTACTATGCATTGACGTTATTGTCACTATTGGTGTTATCGCGAGGTGAGATCCGTTGAGGAATAGGGATGTGGCTGATTACAATGTCCAGTTCCCTATTCTGGTTGGAGAATTCATCCGTACTACTGTCCATGGCCGATTTGATTAACTTCATCATAGTGATAGCAGTCGGTAAGTTGCCTGTTGTTGTCATCCTCCCTCCTCCTCCTCCCACTATCTGCCTCTCCTCCTCTTCAGCTTTCTTATATACCATAAATCTGGAAAGTCATTGGCGTCTCCTATGGGCCATCTCTCGTGATAAAGTACCAACCTCACCGGATACGTATGTATCGGTCGAAGGATGTGCTACTGAATTTAGTACCAAAACTATGTACTATTTCCGAGTTCATCATAATAAAGGTGGGTTGAATCTCCGATACACTGGTTGTTGTTGAGGCCACACTTTGGCAGATTCTTATCTTTCGTTGCAGTCTACAAGAAGACTTCGGGATCTGCTCACTCGTGATGCGAAGGAGCATCCTGAGGAATGGCAGCAGTAGGTCTAGTAAAAGGGTATGTGTAAGTCATCATGAATGGCAGGTTTATATGTCTGAGTTTTGACAATCTCGATCACGCTGGTGAAGGGGTCATTGAGACCAGAATGCATCGTCTTGAAGTTGTCATTAACGGTATTGTGTGTCGTCGTCCAGATTTGGTACTACCCCATCCCCCGCAGTCGTCGTCGTACTATTATTATTCTTTAATTAGGTGATGATGATGTTCCCCCGACCGGAGGGTAATAATATCCCTAGGATGAACATAACATTAATTGATGTTGGTAGCCGTGGGGATGTTGAGCCGTACATCGCCATTTCAAAGGTGAATAATAATAATAACATTATCATATCCATAACAACCCCCTCCCTTACAGGAGCTCAACGCGATGGGCCATCATTGTCGTATCTGCACTCATGATAAGTTCCGAGATATGGTTGAGAGAAAAGGAATAGAGTTCTTCCCAATGGCCCTTGATGCCCCTGGCCATTGGCAACCTGAGGATTTCATGAGGTGAATTCCCCACATACGTTCGCAATTGCTGATCACACTTGCTAACAGGCACGCAGCCGAGAGCCCCTCATGGAGTCCCAAGTTCCTTTTCACTCCCCGGGATATGTGGTACATCCTGCTACATACTCCTGGTATGATGGAATCCTTGAGGGAAATCTTCTTCCCCCCAGGGTGGCAAACCGACAAGGTCGGGGCCTGGGCAGCTGTGAAGAGTAAGCGTATTGCTGGGGACTTGACGGAGCTGTCATGGTCGTAGGTAATCGCGAGGAGCGTTGGGTTACCCATGCTATGATCGCCAATCCGCCATCATATATTCACGTCCATCTGGCTGAGAGACTCGGAGTTCCCCTTCATATGTAGGTTGTGTTGGCTTCCTGATTTGGAAGGGTGGACGGCAATAGTTTCCAACTCGCTACACACACTTCCTATACAAATTCCACGCTGATATTAGCAGTAAGGAGTTGGGGCTGCTGTCACGCTAAATTGGGTTTTCAGATTGCGCGTACTGTACTTGACTTTTCGTTGACTCCCTTTTATCTGCGGCAACTATTTCATCCTTTCCTCATTTGCGCTCATTTTGAGAGTCTTCAAAAGTATCGTT